GTAGCCTCAAGGTGATCAGGGAATACAAATGAACACTTTTATAAGACGAAAGAATATTTTGGATTTTTTTTTTGTTGTGCCTGGCGGTGTTGCAGGCCAAAAAGCTCTTAACGGTTTAAATTCCTTAATTTAACTTTCTAACTCTAACTGAATTTAACTTAATTAAATGTTAATTAGTCCTATCCCCTTACCTATGCTTGACTGCCCCATTACCTCAGCCCATTCAATTTCGACTCTTTCACATGCGTATTAAAAAAAAAAAGTGTTGAATGTATTGAAATTCCATTTTCTTGGCGAGCCCCGGAGGTTCCCTGGAGTTATCGGACTGATATATGCTATATTAGTCTGGGGCATCAGTCACACAGAGTTCTTGCATATCAGGAACTACGACCCAGAACATAGTTCCCTCAGACTGGCGCAGGCCTATGAAAACTCTATTCTTTGAGAGTACTGGATATTCATATCTGCCATCGACCGAGGAAGGCACCCAGAAAGGTAGGCATCCCAAAACAAACCCTAATTGGTAGAACATTGCATCCCAAGACCGAGCAGAGTCCAAGAACTCCCCCCCCCCCAAAAGAAATGCAAGAAGCAAAATGTTATCAAATCAACTCGCCTCTCGTTTGCCCGCCTCCCCCCCCCGCTGGAGGGGAAGGGGAGGTGTCCGCTCACCTGAGTGGGCTGCTCGCCCACCAGTTCGGAGAATGAGCAAAGAAAAATAAAACCGCCGACCGAAGGAAGGGAGGGTGCCAGGGAGCCTCCAGGGCTCACCTAGAAATGGCGTTTCATTACATTCAACGCTGGTTTTTTGTGGGAAACCCCGTCAGCTCCCTGGAGCTAGATATTCACAGATAAATAAAACAGGGACTCGCCCAGGAGGCGGCCATACCACGTCCCTCAGGACGAAGACGAAACAGCTGGTCGCAACAGGCACCCGAAAGCCACACAGGGTCTCTGAGGACCCGGAACATTAACTAAATAATGGGCAGCCAGGATCCTGTTCAAATGCCAAAACCCCCTTACCCTAATGTCAACCCAAGACATGTTACCAAACACTGCAGTGAGAGCTGTAAACTTTTGATTGTGGGTATGAAGGTAGACCGCAGGCTGGCTAGACTTAATAACCCTGCGGACAACCTGAGAGACCCGAGCCCTGGAACAGGGAATGAAGAAAACGGGTCCACCCAAAGCGCATCCACAGACACAAAAGCAGTGGCATGAAGATAGCGGCAAAGACCCTCCATCGGACACAGCACATGATGCACTCCCGGCCTGACCAACAAAGCACTGACAGCGTATGAACCTTTCTGGAAGCCAGCCACCTCAATCCTCACCAGAAAAAAAAATGGTTGCAAATGAACAAAACGGCCACCAGGCCCGAGAGAGCAGAAACCTCTGCATCAAAGGAGAGCATGAAGCTCACTGACATGACCTCCAGAGGCCAAAGCCAACAAAAACAAAGCCTTCTGAAAACACCCTTGGACCGAAGGGGCCAAAAAAAAACGAGAAGAGAAAAGAGAGCACCTGGTCCAAAGACCAGGACCTGGATTCATAAAGCAGTTGCGCAAGTACTTACGAATGTGTACATTTTTCCGCAATCTTTCACGGCCTTGGTTACATTTATTAAACAATTTACAAGTACAGTATTGAAACTTCTCAACCACAGTTGTTATTGTTATGAACAACCTCCTGGTGCTTCGGAGCTCATTAACTGTTTAATAATTGTAAACAAAGCTGCCAAAGATTAAGAAAAGGTGTACAAGTTCGTAAGTGCTTGCGTAACTCTGGGTCCAGGACCACTCGGGTGGCGCATGAGCAGGCCGGAGATGGAAAAAACCAGCTTTGAATGTAATGAAACGCCATTTTCTGGATAAGACCCAGAGGCTCCCCAGAGCTATCTGGGCTTGTATGAATGTATTAGACCCTGGCATCAGTCAAAGCGAATGGAATTCTTAGGCCTACCGGTGACCACGAGCCAGAACCTGGCCCCATCAGAGCGGCACGAGGAGCAGTGGCCTATAGAAACCCGTGTGGTTAGAAGCATTCTATGTCTGCCATCAACCAGGTCAGGCACCCAGAAACCTAGGCACACCAAAACAAACCCTATCTGGTTAAAATATTGCTACTGAAAGCCAAACTGTTGGACAGAACTCCCCCAAATGAATACACGAGCATGACACCACAACCGTCACCGCATCGCTGCCTGCACAGCTTCCCCCCCTCCCCAGGAAGCGGGAGCCCCGCACTGGTTATCCACACCATCAGTTTTGAGGCCGAATGCCAAAACCCACGAAAAACCACCGACTGGAGGGAGGGAGGGAGGGAGAGAAGGAGGGCATTCGATGCTGGGAGCCCATTCGGCTCCCCGGAGCTAGTTAACCAAAGATAAAAAAAAGAGGAACTTACCTGGGAGGTGGTCACCACTCGCTCCTCAACTTGAAGGCAAGACAACTGGTTGCAGCTGCCAACCCACTGTGACACATGTGCAACTAGGGGTAAGGAATATTGATAAGGTAGCGAGAGGCCAGGACTTTGTTCGACCAAAGACTGCGCTGGCTCCGAAACTGGCACCACTGGCCTACCATGACGGGAGGAACCAGGAGCCCTGGCACGACCTTTCTGGAAAGACCTCCACAGGCCCCCCCAGAGAACCAATGAGTCAGACACAGGATGACAACTCGAAGAGGCCGCTTGCAGATACTGCAAACAGCAAAGGACAAAAAGGCGTAGAAAACCTAAGAGTAAAAAAACATAAAAACCTAACATACCCGAAACTGCCAAAGTCTCACCACCAACTAAACCCTGCCCCAAATCCGAAATCCTCAGACGTTTCGGAGCTGGAAGCAGTGGGGAGGGGGGAGAAAGAATAACAGCAGGGGTAGGACTAGGGGGCGCAGACGAAACCAAAGTCAAAGCGACTAACACCCCCAAGTCCGAGTCCCTATAACCAAAACAGGGCAGCCTCGAGGCATCTGGGTGAGCAACCAACCTTATCGATCCGGTAACGCACATGCAATACCAAAGCTGCCTGCACCCGAATATCATGATCAGTGGACTGGGTGAAACCGAGTATATGCAAGCAACATCACTTGCAGGACTCGGGGTCAAAGGTGTCCCTGACCCAAGAGGCAGCATGACGAAGGCATAACATGTGAGTGTCACCCTGAGACAAGGGGGCAGAGCAACCCTCAAACTCACCCAAAAAGAGATGGGAACCAGGGGACACATCCATTGGACAACTGAGCCCCAGTGGGGGTTTCCAGGGCCCTTAGACACTCTGCTAAGGGAAGCCCAGGCAAGGAACTGCTAACTGGCACCCCAAACTACCAAACAAACGGCTAAAAGCTGAACCCCTGGGATGTGTACACTCACGAGGACCTAGGACCACCAATATATATATAATAGGTATCAACACCAAAGGGCAGACCCCACCAGAAAGGAAAAAAAAAAAAACCGCAAAAGCACAACCCAGGCGGAACAGAGCCAGCTGCTGGATTATGGTGAAAAGAAGCTGCACAGTACTTAGCGCCCTTACCAGTGACGAAACTACCTCCTACCTGCCTGACAGCTGGGTGGAAGATTCGTAGATTCGATTCGTAGTCCCGAGGATCCGGGTTCGATCCCCGAACCCCTCTTGGCTCTTTCAGTCCTGAAAGAGCCAAGAAAGGAAAGACAAAATAACTCGGACTGAAACAGAAGGCAACCTATGAAGAGAAAGGAAATGGCGAAAGTAATGTCAAGAGACTTCATACTGTCACCTAGAAGAAGACCGCAGGTGGGACACCATGAGAGAAGCCACCTGATCACCGTACAAGTGGTGATACACACGCGTCAAAAATACCAGATGCGAAGAGCGAAAGAGTAGGTTGAACCAGCAAGGTACCTCATCAGTCTGATCTGCTGATAGAAGCGGAGTCTCTTTCAGCAGATCAAGCAAGCAGCGACTAAAACCAAGGCTGGGCTGGCCACCATGGGGTCAGAAGAACCTTCCCCCGATAGGACTCCAGCTGAGCCAGAACCTGAAACAACAGCTGGATCGGGAGAAGAGGTACCGGCTTTTTCCAGTGGAGCCATATTAAAAGAAAAAAAATATGCTTTTGAGTCTGAATTTTCTAAAATATAATACAGTACACTACTACTTTGTCATAAGTATGCCAAAAGCTGTATATCTTTCTACATATAACCAACAACAATAAGGCTAATACTGTAGCAATATATTTTATATATATATATATATATATATATATATATATATATATATATATATATATATATATATATATATATATATATATATATATATATATATTTTTTTTTTTGGGGGGGGGTGAGCATTTTTTATTTTATTACAATTCTAAAAATTCAAAGGTGTGGTTCTCCCTTATATACCATGAAAAATCAATTAAATTTTTTTTAGATATGTAATAAAGAATAAAGTACCAAAAAAAATTTAAATAATTCAAATAAATAAATGTTTTGATTATCCATTTTCAAATACAAAATGTGGTCTAAGTACAGTAATTCAATACCAGACTACACATTCCCAATGTAATGTATATCATTATACTGTACTGTACTATAAATACAACAAGCAAGCATACTCAATTATTCCAAATTTCCTAAGTTTACTTTTTTGTTTTATTGTGTTTGTTACTCACTTTTTATACATCCCTAATAGGAAAAAAATCAATGATCTTTTTCGTATTTATCATTAATCATTATAGCACTCGTGATTGTGACTGAATCTTGAACAGCAGCTAATTATTGTACTCCTGAAACAGGATTTTTAATTACACAACCTCATTGAAAATACTTTGGTGTAAATAAGCTTTCCATAGACGAACAACCCTTCTACAGCTTTCTTACTGTTCTATGGTGACAGGAATTAGGCTAATGTATTTTTTCAACTAGTACAAGATTAATGCTGTATTATGGGTAACAAATCAACAATAAAAAATTTTGTAGAATGGAGTTGCACTAAACTACAAAGGTCAACTTACCTGTGATTGAGCCATTTGTTGCTGGCCGGGGGCACTTTATCACCGATTTCTTATGGCTATGTGACAGTGGGTGTCTTGACAGAAACCACTCATCGTTAGTATCATTTCTCCCAAAATCTTCAGAAAATATTTTTTTTCTTTTAAAACCAAGTTTCGTGTGTTTTGGTCCAGCTTTGCCAAACTTCCGATTATCTCTCCTCCTTGCATTCCTCCTGAAACGCTGCAGTTCATTACGTAAGGCTTTAGCACATTCTTTATTGATTCCTGCTTTAGCAATGTCTTTAAAACGTCTAAAGTCTTTTGCTTGCAGTCTATGAAGTTTGAGAATTGGAAGGCATACATTAGCATTCTGTAGATTAGTAACAGGCCTTATCACATTCTTATCTTCAGGCAAGACACAAGACTCCTGGTGTGGCACAACAGGAGGACAAGTCAGCGTAGAAACCTGGCTGTTCTTTAACAAACAATCAAGAGGGTTTGATGGTCCTTCTGGCATGAGTTCAATACCATGCTTACTTTCCATAGTGACGGTGTCTTCAGATTTAAGTATCTCGCCCATCTTCTGCACCCATGTGTGCATAGTCACATGGCATTCAACTTTTCAATAGCTATTACTAATGCCATTAATGCCAGCCACATTACTCTCATTACACATTACACCTTTGACAAATTTTAATCCCTATTTTGAGTAAATTTGCTGACAGAGGTTATTTTTTTCTTTATCAAATTAAATGTACATTTAAGTTTAAACTAATAGCAAAAGTAGTATGTTGCATTTTCTTTTGTCTTGTGTATAGATTACTTCAATGATAACACTTAACACTTCATTCCACATGTACAATCTGTAAAGAAAAGAAAAACATTTAACAACAATTACTACATAACTGGTAGCATAATATAGTATAGTACACCTTCATTAATTAAAGGTTTTCATTAATTTTAAAGATTTAAGAATTTGAGGCTACAAAATTATGAAACTAACAACAATAATTTAATCAAACTATTTCTATAACCACTGCACTGCGCCGGCCAAGAAATCTTGTTTCCCCCTTATTGCGTCAACCAAGAAAACCCTTTTTGATTTTCTCGTACACAGTCAAAATTTATTTAGCATGGGTGGAACGCGAACAAGGGGACACAGGTGGAAACTTAGTACCCAAATAAGTCACAGAGACATTAGAATTTTTTTTCAGTGTCAGAGTAGTTAACAAATGGAATGCATTAGGCAGTGATGTGGTGGGGGCCAACCCATCCTCCTGTTAGGATAGTAACTATTGTGACGATCGTCAATAGTTAGAATTCGTACGTTAATAGCTTTTAGGTAGTAGTACTGTATACTGACTAGAAAGGAATTCTTTTAAAATAAATGAAGTACTGTAAAAGCACAAAATTAAATATTCCTAAGCCAAGTATAGCACACACAGGTACTACATAGGCCTGAGATATGTATTAGGCCTAGGGAGGTTAGTTTAGTTTGTCAAAGCAACACAAGTAAAAGACCAAAGATCCACAGCTCAACCCCTTCCCCTAGCACAACTTAGTGAGTACAATCATGCACCTGGGGAGAATACGTTTATGCACCTGGGAAGAATACGTTTATGCACCTGGGAAGAATACGTTTATGCACCTGGGAAGAATACGTTTATGCACCTGGGGAGAATACGTTTATGCACCTGGGGAGAATACGTTTATGCACCTGGGGAGAATACGTTTATGCACCTGGGGAGAATACGTTTATGCACCTGGGGAGAATACGTTTATGCACCTGGGGAGAATACGTTTATGCACCTGGGGAGAATACGTTTATGCACCTGGGGAGAATACGTTTATGCACCTGGGGAGAATACGTTTATGCACCTGGGGAGAATACGTTTATGCACCTGGGGAAAATACGTTTATGCACCTGGGGAGAATACGTTTATGCACCTGGGGAGAATACGTTTATGCACCTGGGGAGAATACGTTTATGCACCTGGGGAGAATACGTTTATGCACCTGGGGAGAATACGTTTATGCACCTGGGGAGAATACGTTTATGCACCAGGGGAGAATACGTTTATGCACCTGGGGAGAATACGTTTATGCACCTGGGGAGAATACGTTTATGCACCAGGGGAGAATACGTTTATGCACCAGGGGAGAATACGTTTATGCACCTGGGGAGAATACGTTTATGCACCTGGGGAGAATACGTTTATGCACCTGGGGAGAATACGTTTATGCACCTGGGGAGAATACGTTTATGCACCTGGGGAGAATACGTTTATGCACCTGGGGAGAATACGTTTATGCACCTGGGGAGAATACGTTTATGCACCTGGGGAGAATACGTTTATGCACCTGGGGAGAATACGTTTATGCACCTGGGGAGAATACGTTTATGCACCTGGGGAGAATACGTTTATGCACCTGGGGAGAATACGTTTATGCACCTGGGGAGAATACGTTTATGCACCTGGGGAGAATACGTTTATGCACCTGGGGAGAATACGTTTATGCACCTGGGGAGAATACGTTTATGCACCTGGGGAGAATACAATCACACACCTGGGGGAGACTACAATCACACACCTGGGGGAGACTACAATCACACACCTGGGGGAGACTACAATCACACACCTGGGGGAGACTACAATCACACACCTGGGGGAGACTACAATCACACACCTGGGGGAGACTACAATCACACACCTGGGGGAGACTACAATCACACACCTGGGGGAGACTACAATCACGCATCCGGGGGAGACTACAATCACGCATCCGGGGGAGACTACAGGATGACCTGGAGGAATGGTCTAGAAAATGGCTGCTAAAGTTCAACTCAGGAAAGTGTAAGGTGATGAAATTAGGCGAAGGGAGCAGGAGGCTGAACACAAGGTATCATCTGGGAGGGGAAATCCTGCAAGAGTCAAATAGAGAGAAGGATCTGGGGGTTGATATCACACCGAACCTGTCCCCAGAGGCCCACATCAAAAGAATATCATCAGCGGCATATGCTAGACTGGCCAACATAAGAACTACCTTCAGAAACTTGTGTAAGGAATCTTTCAGAACCCTGTATACCACTTAAGTAAGACCAATCCTGGAGTATGCAGCTCCAGCCTGGAGTCCATACCTAGTTAAACACAAGACAAAGTTAGAGAAGATTCAACGGTATGCCACCAAGCTCGTCCCGGAACTGAGAGGATTGAGCTACGAGGAAAGGCTGAAGGAGCTGAACCTCACATCCCTGGAAAACAGAAGAGTAAGGGGAGACATGATAACCACCTACAAAATTCTCAGGGGAATTGACAGGGTGGACAAAGACAAACTCTTCAGCACGGGTGGGACACGAACAAGGGGACACAGGTGGAAACTTAGTACCCAGATGAGCCACAGAGACGTTAGAAAGAATTTTTTTAGTGTCAGAGTAGTTAATAAATGGAATGCACTAGGAAGTGATGTTGTGGAGGCTGACTCCATACACAGTTTCAAATGTAGATATGATAGAGCCCAGTAGGCTCAGGAACCTGTAAACCAGTTGATTAACAGTTGAGAGGCGGGACCAAAGAGCCAAAGCTCAACCCCCGCAAGCACAATTAGGTGAGTACAGTCACACACCTGGAGGATACTACAATGATGCATCTGGGGGAGACTACAATGATGCATCTGGGGGAGACTACAATGATGCATCTGGGGGAGACTACAATGATGCATCTGGGGGAGACTACAATGATGCATCTGGGGGAGACTACAATCACACACCTGGGGAGACTACAATCATGCATCTGGGGGAGACTACAGTCACACACCTGGAGGAGACTACAATCACGCATCTGGGGGAGACTACAATCACGCACCTGGGGGAGACTACAATCACGCACCTGGGGAGACTACAATCACACACCTGGGGGAGACTACAATCACACACCTGGGGGAGACTACAATCACACACCTGAGGGAGACTACAATCACACACCTGGGGAGACTACAGTCACACACCTGGGGAGACTACAGTCACACACCTGGGGGAGTCTACAGTCACGCACCTGGGGGAGTCTACAGTCACGCACCTGGGGGAGACTACAGTCACGCACCTGGGGGAGACTACAGTCACGCACCTGGGGGAGACTACAATCACGCATCTGGGGGAGACTACAATCACGCATCTGGGGGAGACTACAATCACACACCTGGGGGAGACTACAATCACGCATCTGGGGGAGACTACAATCACGCATCTGGGGGAGACTACAATCACACACCTGGGGGAGACTACAATCATGCATCTGGGGGAAACTACAATCACACACCTGGGAGAGACTACAGTCACACACCTGTGGAGACTACAATCACGCACCTGGGGAGACTACAATCACACACCTGGGGGAGACTACAATCACGCACCTGGAGGATACTACAATCATGCACCTGGGGAGACTACAATCACGCACCTGGGGAGACTACAATCACACCTGGGGGAGTCTACAGTCACACACCTGGGGGAGACTACAATCACACACCTGGGGGAGACTACAATCACACACCTGGGGGAGACTACAATCACACACCTGGGGGAGACTACAATCACACACCTGGGGGAGACTACAGTCACACACCTGGGGGAGTCTACAGTCACGCACCTGGGGGAGACTACAATCACGCATCTGGAGGAGACTACAATCACGCATCTGGGGGAGACTACAATCACACATCTGGGGAGACTACAGTCACGCATCTGGGGGAGACTACAATCACGCATCTGGGGGAGACTACAATCACACACCTGGGGGAGACTACAATCACACACCTGGGGGAGACTACAATCACGCATCTGGGGGAGACTACAATCACGCACCTGGGGAGACTACAATCACACACCTGGGGGAGACTACAATCACACACCTGGGGAGACTACAATCACACACCTGGGGAGACTACAATCACACACCTGGGGAGACTACAATCACACACCTGGGGGAGACTACAATCACACACCTGGGGGAGACTACAATCACCCACCTGGGGGAGACTACAATCACGCACCTGGGGGAGACTACAATCACACACCTGGGGGAGACTACAATCACGCATCTGGGGGAGACTACAATCGTGCACCTGAGGGAGACTACAATCGTGCACCTGAGGGTGACTACAATCATGCACCTGAGGGTGACTACAATCACACACCTGGGGGAGACTACAATCACGCATCTGGGGGAGACTACACTCACGCACCTTGGGGAGACTACAATCACGCATCTGGGGGAGACTACAATCGTGCACCTGAGGGTGACTACAATCGTGCACCTGAGGGTGACTACAATCGTGCACCTGAGGGTGACTACAATCGTGCACCTGAGGGTGACTACAATCACACACCTGAGGGTGACTACAATCTTGCACCTGAGGGAGACTACAATCATGCACCTGGGGGAGACTACAATCATGCACCTGGGGGAGACTACAATCATGCACCTGAGGGTGACTACAATCATGCACCTGAGGGTGACTACAATCATGCACCTGAGGGAGACTACAATCATGCACCTGAGGGTGACTACAATCATGCACCTGAGGGGAATACAATCATGCACCTGAGGGGAATACAATCATGCACCTGAGGGGAATACAATCATGCACCTGAGGGGAATACAATCATGCACCTGAGGGAATACAATCATGCACCTGAGGGTGACTACAATCATGCACCTGAGGGGAATACAATCATGCACCTGAGGGGAATACAATCATGCACCTGAGGGGAATACAATCATGCACCTGAGGGGAATACAATCATGCACGTGAGGGGAATACAATCATGCACCTGAGGGAAATACAATCATGCACCTGAGGGGACTACAACCATGCACCTGAGGATGACTACAATCATGCACCTGGGGGAGACTACAATCATGCACCTGGGGGAGACTACAATCATGCACCTGGGGGAGACTACAATCATGCACCTGGGGGAGACTACAATCATGCACCTGGGGGAGACTACAATCATGCACCTGGGGGAGACTACAATCATGCACCTGGGGGAGACTACAATCATGCACCTGGGGGAGACTACAATCATGCACCTGAGGGTGACTACAATCATGCACCTGAGGGTGACTACAATCATGCACCTGAGGGTGACTACAATCATGCACCTGAGGGTGACTACAATCATGCACCTGAGGGTGACTACAATCATTCACCTGAGGGGAATACATTCATGCACCTGAGGGAATACAATCATGCACCTGAGGGTGACTACAATCATGCACCTGAGGGTGACTACAATCATGCACCTGAGGGGAATACAATCATGCACCTGAGGGGAATACAATCATGCACCTGAGGGTGACTACAATCATGCACCTGAGGGTGACTACAATCATGCACCTGGGGGAGACTACAATCATGCACCTGGGGGAGACTACAATCATGCACCTGAGGGTGACTACAATCATGCACCTGAGGGTGACTACAATCATGCACCTGAGGGTGACTACAATCATGCACCTGAGGGTGACTACAATCATGCACCTGAGGGTGACTACAATCATGCACCTGAGGGAGACTACAATCATGCACCTGAGGGTGACTACAATCATGCACCTGAGGGGAATACAATCATGCACCTGAGGGGAATACAATCATGCACCTGGGGGAGACTACAATCATGCACCTGAGGGTGACTACAATCATGCACCTGAGGGGAATACAATCACGCACCTGAGGGGAATACAATCATGCACCTAGGGGAGACTACAATCATGCACCTGAGGGTGACTACAATCATGCACCTGGGGTGACTACAATCATGCACCTGGGGTGACTACAATCATGTACCTGGGGGAATACAATCATGCACCTGAGGGTGACTACAATCATGCACCTGGGGTGACTACAATCATGCACCTGGGGTGACTACAATCATGCACCTGGGGTGACTACAATCATGCACCTGAGGGTGACTACAATCATGCACCTGGGGTGACTACAATCATGCACCTGGGGGTGACTACAGTCATGCACCTGGGAGGGAGCACAAACATGCCTGCGGGCCGCTCCGAGCAACAGCCTGTTGGATCATGTTATCACACATCGGTCCTGGTCCCAGACCGGGCTCAGGAATATAGAAATATGGCCATTATAGGAAGTGTCAATATTGTGGGAGTGGTGAAGAGAAGTGGTGTAGGGAAGAGTAGCACAAGAGGCAGTACACCGCCTCAGCCACCAGCTATGGCCGAGAGGTCTTATGTGCATGTTGTGTTCACCTCGTAAGCTTCAATGAATATCCCGCACTGTGTTTACCAAGCCTGGTAACTGCCCAGCGTGACCTGGGTGGCAGCCCCAGCGGCCAGTACACGCCACTGGGTGTGGGGGAGCGAGGTCACAGTCCCCACAGGTGGGGTCCGGCACATGGTGGACTTGTTGTACCAGTCACTCAGATGAGGTCAACAAACGTCCCAATACACTCACCCTCTCGCCCCCTCCTGTAAACACACTCCAATATCTCCACATAGAAAAGGTCCTGCTCGACTCTGATATTGGGAGAGGCTTGCACTAGAGCTTAAGTAAGAGTCTCACTCTTAAAAGCCACGGATCAGAACCATAAACCGTAGTAGGCAACAAAATATTGGTTAGCTTTCGTCTCACTACCGGCCACGCCATTTGCAAACGAAAACTGAAAACATTGGAAGTAAATGTTCAAGTTATCGTACACTATTCACTAAACAATCGTAATAAATACATTTTGGTGTAATTCTAAGGTCGTGAGATTAATTTGATAGTATGTATGATGGAATGATTTTATCTATAAAAAATATATATCAAGTATTATCGCCCGGTACATCTAGGTGATCAATATTTAACTCAAGTGTCCTGTACGCGCGAAGCTGAAGTTATCATCAAAATAATTGTTATCTACATGTTAGTCAATATACTCCCCATATTAAAACAGAATAGTCTCAGCAAATATATCGTAATATTCCCTTAAAATACATAGACGTTCATCTTCGTTTACAAGCAGTTGGGAGGCCGCTCCACTGCCAGACGTACGAGCAACCGGGTCGCCAGACACAGTGATCACAATAGAATGACAACTCGTGTATTTAACTTTGAAGTCATCTTAGTATTCTCCTACGAGTTAAAAAAAACACACATAAAAATGCTAGCACAACGGAATAAGTGATGTGTGTGTGTGAGTTAGGAGCCACGCTGGTTACGATAATGGGTGTTTACACCCCAGCCACCTGAACCATGCTCAGTGCTTTTTTTGTTGACAGCTGAGTGAGGCGCATGTGTGTACTCTCGCTCCATGTGCTTCCCTGGCTCCTCGCCTCGCCCACTCTACCATAACTCTTAAGTAAGTGACTAGTTCCCACGTCTTATTATTATACCCACGTTTTTATTATTATATTTACTCTCAACAAATACTTTACAGCTGTGTTCACGCGTAAAGATTAAACAACAACCCAGTAACCACACAAGTTACCTTCATCCCTAGTACCTTCTCACCAGTTTAGAGGCGGGACCAAACAGCCACAGCTCAACCCCCGCAAGCGCAGCTAGGTGATTACAAATGTTTAAAACTGGGGAAAAGAACGAATTACCTGGATTTACCTTAGAACCACTAACACAATTTTTTGTCTTTTTTTTTATTTATATATGAAAGAGTTCTTATATTCTTGTACAGCCACTAGCACCCGGGCAAGTCCTTAATCCTATGTTCCCCAGAATACGACCCGCCAAATCGTTTAACAAATCGTTGGGTAAACAGAGGCTTGACATCAGTTAAGCCGAAACAGTTAAGGATTGACATCCAGTAAATCCTCCCCGGCCAGGATACGAACCCAGGACAAAGCGCTCACGAAACGCCAGTCGAGTGTCTTAACCACTATATCACTTAAAGGCTTAAAGTCCCAGTGGTGGCCTCGTCGAGAATAGGAAGCCGGCGGCTTGTCAAAGAACCCCCCCCCCCATTTGCCTCGATCTTTTCCAGCTGTACTTCAATTTTTAAAGTTAACAGTTTTAGTATTTACGGGTTCGGCGGGTAGGCGTTTCCATGGTTAATAATAACCCTGTGGGTGAAAAAGCATCTCCTGTTCTTCAGTCATATATTGTGGCTTGTTGAGCTTGAGATCGTTGCTCCTCGTTTGTGTTATATCTGATCCTTTGAAGAAATTTTTCGGATCAATATCCTCCAAATTGCTCAGTATTTTAAGTTACGATAATATCCTCCTTGTCATGCCGGTTTGCAGTGTTCTTAACCCTGTGGCCCTCACCGTTCATGATACGTAAGTCGACTTTGCTCTGGAATAATTTTTGTTGCCCGGTGTTGCACTTTTTCCAGAGCAGCTATATCCTTCTGAAGATGATACCTGGTTGATACCTGGTTGATGGGGTTCTGGGAGTTCTTCTACTCCCCAAGTCCGGCCCGAGGCCAGGCCGGACTTGGGGAGCTGGTCAAGCTCTGGCCTCAAGCCCATGTATGTACATGAAGTACATACTTGGGGTCTCTGGTCTGATGAGGTCTCCATGCTTGGATACAGTAATTCAAATGGGGCGCAACAGAGATTTATACAATTGAATCATTACCTTCTTTTCGTTAACGTCGAAGGTACGCTTGATTATTCCAAGTGTTTGGTTACCGTTGTTGACTGTTGCTCCTACCTGCTGTGCAACTTTCAGTGAGTGGTGGATTTTGACTCCAAGCTCCTTTTCTTCATCAATCTGTTGTAATGTAATGTTAAATATTAATAATATTTGCCAGTCTTCTGACCATTTGCGGAGTTCCTGCAGATCTCTTTGTAAGGCTTCATCATCATCACTTCACATTTCTCAAGTCAGATTCATTCCCATTTAGCATCACTCTTGGTTTTCTTTATTTTAACCATTGTTTTATCCTCTCTAGTATTCTTCCATTTATTCCATGTGCCTGTAATTTCTTTTCCAGTATTTCATGTGATACCTTATCAAAGGCTTTAGAAAAATCCAAGTATACTACATCAACTGGAAGTCCTCTTTCTGTGTAGCTGGTGACCGTTTCCAAAAATGTGAGCAGGTTTGTAAGGCGGATCTGTTTTTAACAACCCCATGTTGTGTCGATTGTACAAGATTGTTCACTGAAAGATGGTGAATGATTCCCTCCCTTAGGATTCTCTCCATGAGCTTGCAAATGTGTGAGTTCAAGCTGAACTCCACTGAACTCTTTCTGCCTTTTTTGTTGAAAATAGAGGTGACATTTGCATATTTCCAATCTAGGGAAACTATCCCTTGGGCCAGAGAATTTGTGAAAAGTAATTTCAGTGGTAGGCATAGTTCTTCTGACAGTTCCTTAATGACTTTGGATTGTATTCCATCCACACCTGGGGAACCGGTCGGCCGAACGGACAGCACGTTGGACTTGTGATCCTGGGTTCGATCCCAGGCGCCGGCGAGAAACAATGGGCAGAGTTTCTTTGACCCTATGCCCCTGTTACCTAGCAGTAAATAGGTACCTGGGTGTTAGGCTGCTTCCTGGGGGTGGAGGCCTGGTCAAGGACCGGGCCGCGGGGACACTAAAGCCCCGAAATCATCTCAAGATAACACCTGGAGCTTTCGAGTCTTTTAGTTTGTCAATGTTCTTCTTGATTATGTTGCATGTTATGGTTATATTCCTATATTCCCATGCTCCCATATCTTTGCAGCCTCCACAGGTTTCCCAACGTCAAGAAAACGGTAAAATTAAAGTGCCCTCTCCTAACCTACCTGAGGATCCTAAATAGAAAACGGGACAGTACGTCACTTTTGCGAGCCGCTTCCATTTTGAAGTCCGAAAATTTTTGGCCTTGTATAACGCATACGGTCGAAATGCGACGTTCTTTGTAAGAGGACAGGTTCAGCCTTCCCTTCAAATGCCACTTCACCTGCCAAGTGGCTGTCATCCAGTCAAGAAGGATTCATGCATGAAAAACTAAATGTGTGTGGTTATTTTTACATTTTTTGTGAGTGCATTGGGCTTTGTGAGTGCATCTGGTTTTGTGAGAGCATCTAGTTTTGAAACAATATTATGTTAGCAAACGAAGCAAACTTCAGTAGCTTTTCCAACATTGAATTTTAATGGATCATTCAACAGCTGAAAAGTCTAGTTGAACATTTTACAATCAGACAGGAATAGTAAACATTTCATAATAACATTGGCGAGCGAGATTTCCATTAGTGGTGCCTCCCGTGTCAGGTCGAGCGAGGCTTCCATAATGATGGTGGTGCGCGGTGCCTTCCGCGTTTGGTCGAGCGAGGCTTCCATAATAATGGCGGTGCGCAGTGCCTTCCGCGTTTGGTCGAGCGAGGCTTCCATAATGATGGCGGTGCGCAGTGCCTTCTGCGTTTGGTCGAGCGAGGCTTCCATAATGATGGCGGTGCGCAGTGCCTTCTGCGTCTGGTCGAGCGAAACTTCCATAATGATGGCGGTGCGCTGTGCCTTCCGCGTTTGGTCGAGCGAGACTTCCATAATGGTGGTGGTGCGCGGTGCCTTCTGCGTCTGGTCGAGCGAAACTTCCATAATGATGGTGGTGCGCAGTGCCTTCCGCGTTTGGTCGAGCGAGGCTTCCATAATAATGGCGGTGCGCAGTGCCTTCTGCGTCTGGTCGAGCGAAACTTCCATAATGATGGCGGTGCGCGGGGCCTTCCGCGTTTGGTCGAGCGAAACTTCCATAATGATGGTGGTGCGCGGTGCCTTCCGCGTTTGGTCGAGAGAAACTTCCATAATGATGGCGGTGCGCGGTGCCTTCCGCGTTTGGTCGAGCGAAACTTCCATAATGATGGTGGTGCGCGGTGCCTTCCGCGTTTGGTCGAGCGAAACTTCCATAATGATGGTGGTGCGCAGTGCCTTCCGCGTTTGGTCGAGCGAAACTTCCATAATGATGGCAGTGCGCGGTGCCTTCCGCGTTTGGTCGAGCGAAACTTCCATAATGATGGCGGTGCGCGGCGCCTTCCGCGTTTGGTCGAGCGAGACTTCCATAATGATGGTGGTGCGCGGTGCCTTCCGCGTTTGGTCGAGCGAAACTTCCATAATGATGGTGGTGCGCGGCGCCTTCCGCGTTTGGTCGAGCGAAACTTCCATAATGATGGTGGTGCGCAGTGCCTTCCGCGTTTGGTCGAGCGAAACTTCCATAATGATGGCAGTGCGCGGTGCCTTCCGCGTTTGGTCGAGCGAAACTTCCATAATGATGGTGGTGCGCGGTGCCTTCCGTGTTTGGTTGAGCGAAACTTCCATAATGATGGCGGTGCGCAGTGCCTTCCGCGTTTGGTCGAGCGAAACTTCCATAATAATGGCGGTGCGCGGTGCCTTCCGCGTTTGGTTGAGCGAAACTTCCATAATGATGGCGGTGCGCGGTGCCTTCCGCGTTTGGTCGAGCGAAACTTCCATAATGATGGTGGTGCGCAGTGCCTTCCGCGTTTGGTCGAGCAAGACTTCCATAATGATGGTGGTGCGCAGTGCCTTCCGCGTTTGGTCGAGCGAGGCTTCCATAATGATGGTGGCGCGCAGTGCCTTCCGCGTTTGGTCGAGCGAAACTTCCATAATGATGGTGGCGCGCAGTGCCTTCCGCGTTTGGTCGAGCGAGGCTTCCATAATGATGGTGGCGCGCAGTGCCTTCCGCGTTTGGTCGAGCGAAACTTCCATAATGATGGTGGTGCGTGGTGTCTTATGCGTTTGGTCGAG